AAAAATAGTTTATTTGCTTGGTATGCGCACTATACGACCTTCAGCAATATTGACTTGTGTAGGAGTTTGTGTATTATAAAAACCATCCAGTAATTTTATCATTGTGGTGGTACTTGTTTGATTACTCTCAAAAGATGCCTTATTCTTCATAGCAGCTTCGTAAATCATATCAGCCTTTTCTGTATCACTGTCTGTAGTTTCATAGTAAATAATAGATTCATGTGAAATCTTATTAACATTCTTTTTAAGGTCATTATCGACAACAGAACGTAGCTCCGTCACCACTTTCTTTTCAGCATCCCCATGTGGTTCCTTAACCAAACCGTTTTCCCTTATTTTCGAAAAAATTTTTGTACCTGTCGCTGCTGCAAGAGTCGTACCAGAAACTGCCAGAACAAATTCAGAAGCACCTGTTACAGCTACACCAAACAATTGACCCCCTGGAACGACAAAAAGCAAACCACCTACAACAAAACCAGTTGCAGCAATAATTGCCATCCATTTTGCAACATGATTGGCGTTTGCTACTGTTTTCTTCGCTTCATTGTACGCTTTAATATGTTCTGCTTGGGAATCGCCAACATCGCTTAGGAAATCATCACAGTTTGTAATAAATGTTTGCATATCTCTGGAAATATCACCCAAACTGGTCAGTATTTGTCCATTACATTCGTTATTCATCTTCACTACAATTTTATATCTATTCTTATTGTAATGATCGATAATTGAAGTACAGAAACGCGTCCCAGTATCTGACAATTCTGCAGTGCATCGTGTGATAGTATAGGCAGATTTAAGAATAATAGCTAGCTTTTCTTTTTGCTCTTTGCTGAGTTTTGAGTACTTTTGCAAGCTATCAATGGCTGTGTTCATATCACCAATATTTTTAGCTGCTGTTTTAATAACAAAATCAAACGCTACACTGTACAATTTATCCTTGTCCATTTTTTTATAAATATTTTACAACAATCCAAACCTCCAAACACACAATAAAACACGCTAAAGC